TTGTAAAAAAAAAAAAAAAAAATCTTCTATCTAATGATCCATGACTTATAGATTGTGTGATACATAGGCTCTGTTTACATTAGTTTGTTTACATATTAAAATTTAACATTTTGTCTTTAAATTAATTAAGAGAAATAATTTTATTAGTTATATTGTCTTTATTTTTCTCCAATGTAAAAATTCTTTACATTCAGATTTATTAATTGATTATATTCACTACATTGTCTATTATCTTTTTTTTGTGCACTGTTTTTTAATTAAATATCAAAGTTATAATATAAGTAATGTTATATGTTTATTTACCAAGTATTTTATTAATACCATGAAAAATTTTAAAAAATATAATTAATAAAGCCAATCATATTAACTACTTGAGGGATTTGTTGACAAAGAAAGTATTCAAATCACACAACAAATTGAAGTGAGAACTACGTCACGATATCCTTGTTTGACAATCAGCAGTTAGCGGTTAGCGTTAGCGGATTTGACCAGCGAATTATATCAACGGTTGGTAAAAAGATATTTGAATTATAATATTTGCGGTGAAAGTTGCAGATAAATTAAAAGAGAAGAGAAAAAAGTTTTAATTGAGAAGGGTAAATTATGTCATTTCTTTAAAATAATAAGGATAAAGATGGAAAAAAAGTTAGGAAGCTAGGAACTTATTTTGAAACGCTACCTAAAGTAGCGTTCCAAAATAAGCTCTTATTTTAAGCTAGAAGCTTATTTTATGAACATTACAAAACATAGTTTATAGCTTATTAGTAGCTTAAAATAAGCTCTGCCAAATAGAGCCACCACACATATATATAGTCATATGAGTCCAATTTGTATTCTCTGCCACCCAAATTACCAGTAATTTCATCTCACAAACATCAATATTGAATAATTGCTTAAAAATATATATATATTGAAATTATAAACTTAAAAAAAAATATGTATTACAATTAGCAACTTTGAAAAAATATGTATTGAACAAAAAATATATATTGAACAAAAAAAATGTATTGACAATAGAAACTTAAAAATATATGTATTGAAAATAAAAACTTAAAAAAATATTTCATAAATAATTAGCATTAAAAAATCAAAAACAAAACAAAAAAAAAAAAAACAAAAACAAAAACAAGCAAAACAGTGACGGGGTTCAATTTTTTTTAATTTAATATTTTAATTAATTAGAGTTTGAATTAAAATATTATTAATCACACATCATAAATGAGGTTTGACCAAGTGGTGCAAATAGCAAAATGACCCTTATTTAGCTATTTACATCACCTATTAATTATTAAAAGTTTTCACCTTTTTATAACTTTAAAATACTTTATATCTACTTTTGGTCAAAGGGGGGTGCAAATAGTATATACTTCGCTGAATTGATAGTATAATGCTTTCTTGGACAAAGTCCGAAACTGTTTCATTGATTAATGATTACTTTTTCTTTACTCGGAAACCATTAATCACGGCAATCAAACACAAATAGTTCTAAGTTCCAATAACCAAAAAAAGCAATATATATTTATATATTTTATTGTAAACCCAAAATATCTAATGATGTTTTTTGTGCATCAATCCTTCCAGATCAATCCGAGATGGGTTAATGCGTAATCGCGACTACGTGGAGTCTGCGCAATGCGACATCTACCTCGTAACGCCGCCGACATCATATTTTCTCCAATGAAACAAAAAGATTGCTGTCATTATGAATTGACCCAAAAAAAAAAAAAAAAAAAAAAAAAAAATTAAGACCCCAAAAAAGACGCCATCTAGTACGGGATACCATTCAATTCAACTAAAAAAAAAAAACAATCATCCAAACTTGTCTACTTTGTTTACACACTACACACAATGCTACATATATATGTGGTTTGAAAAGATTGTTTTGTTTGTGTATATTTGGCAGCTTCACGCAAAAGCACTTGAAAGAAGTTAGTGATAACGGATGAGTACAGTTGAGATTCAACGGCTTCGTTGAAGATAATGGGAAGCTAGCTTAGCTTACATATTATTTAATTAGTTTGATTAAGAAGCCGCGTTTACAACTATAACATTTGAGAATTATATTATATTATATTATCTGTCTAAGTCAAGTACTCAAGTACATTATGTTCAATTGGCATATCTGTAACCCTCCTTGAAGGAAGATCACAGGACCACTATAGAAATTGTGTTGGAAAACTTGATTTTATTATTATTATTGTTGATGGTTTTGTTGGGACTGAGTCCACCATAAACTGAGTATACATGTATAGGACGGAAGTAGTGATATAAAGTTATGGGATGTATTTGACTATTCTCCTTATTTAAAAATAAAAAATAGCACAATAAATTTAAAACTTTGTATTTAAAGTTAGAAACTTAAACTAGCTGCCTTTTAAGTGATAAAACAGCATCCAGAATCCATACACAAAAGGGAAAGAACCACAAAAGTGAATTGAAGGTGCTAATCAAGATAGAAGGCATATTGTATCGTGCTGGTGACATGTTGCCTCCCACTTGGATTATTTTCTTTCCTTTCTTTTATTCATTTCTTATAATAAGCAATTCTTACTTTGGTCTGCTTATTATTATTTTTTTTAAACAAGAAATATGTATATATTTTATTTATAAAAAAAAACGTTAAAAACATCTCTAATCTCTTAGTAGATAAAATAGTGTAATTGGATCTCTTAACTGAAAAAAAAAAAAAAAATCTATCTAACTTCTCTTTAAATTAACAAAAAAAAATACAATTGAATTCAGATTATCTCGTAAATTACCACTAATTTAACGCTAACAAGACTTCCATGCATAGCTTTTTGCAGATCCATGATGATTTAACCTAACATATCATATGTATTGTACCTATTATTATTTTTTATTTATCATGATTTACCATCGACTTATCTTCTTCTCAGAAATTCTTAGTACAAATTAAAGACTTAATTATCCCAAAAGACAATCACCAGGCTTTCTTTATCCAGTGATGGACAACTATGAGCATTTAAAAAATGATAGCCGCAATGGATGTAACTTAACCACGTATCTAACTTCTAAGAGGTCTTCAAATGAAGGTGCAACTAACACAACTGCTTTTATCGATGGAATAATATAATTCCAGATCTAGACCTCATATAAAAATTACATTATTTGTGTAATTGTGTATGATGTATACCCAATATTTGAGTCCAATTGGACCTCCTAATCCTGATTAGCCCACCTAAGCCTGGTCAAATATCCTATTAATCATTCTATTAAAGCCTATTTAATTATCTACCTCATCCTAATCCCCAAAGTTATTACCCCATTAATTATCTTATTTCTAATTTCTATAACCAACCCACTAATTACCAAATTAATACCCATCAATACCCTACTAAATTGTCTAACGGACGCTATTTGGTTGGCTAGCTATAAGAAGGAGAAGAAGAGCACAAGGAAGGGGATCCATTCCTACACACTAGAAGACCACCTACTATTCTTTCATCCCCAAGAAGACTCCATACTCTCCCAAAGGGGGAAGAACTCTCTCACATCACTCTACCTTTCAACAAGAAGGTCTCACCACCCACACTCTCTCACTCTCACTCTCACAACAAGAAGACTATCAAGAAGATTCCATTTTACCAAGAAGCATACTCCACCTTTCGGTACCAAAGATTTACAAAATAGCCATATACTATGTACCAATACTTACAAGAATAGTAAAAGTTTTGGCTTGGCACTGCCCAAAAAGACTCGTGATTTTCACCTTTCGGTTTTCACGTCAAAATCATCGTGTCTAATTTCTTCTAAGTCCATAATATTATTCTAACAGTGAATCCACCAACCACGATTGTGTTGGAACTCCCTGCGCCCAAAAACCCTAAAACTAACAGTGTATATAAAATACACTATTAAATATATATCATTTGAGTATTCAAAGTATATTGTTTTGTATACTATCAAATAATATATTTATAGTATATTAAAATTTTACTTTTTTTAATGGTTTGCACAATAATGACAATATTGTGTGGATATGATTCACATAAAAATTTGTCGAAATAAGTAACAATTATATTTTGTTATATGAAACTTTTGTTTGGTAAGAAACTCAATTGTAATATCAAAATTAGTTGGCATTATTTCCCATCAGTTTATTGTAATGATTTACAATTAATATAAAATAAAATAAAATGCATTCAAAATTAAATTAGTAGTAGTGAGGGAAATCGTGCGTGTTGGTGGCACGTGGCAGGGGAAGGTAGACCTATGTTATCCAGCCTACCAATGACACAATGAGAGGTGAATTCCCCTCACTGTCCTTAATTTTAATTTTTGTTTTCAAATTTTCGAAGCTGTTTGGGCTACGAGCCCATAAAAACAGGTTGGTGGGCTTAACATTATTATTATCTTACTAAGATCAGCAGCCCTTTTAAATGTCATTTCGCCCGTAAAAGACGGCAAATAATGCTGTGGAATTGCGTCAAGAGGGGCAAAGTTTCAAAACTATTCATAATTATGAATATATAGTTCAAAAATTATAAATATATAGTTCTATAATTATGAACATAGAGTTGTGAACATAATTATGAATATATAGTTTTGTCATTATGAATATAGAGATTCAATAATTGTAAACATAAAGTTCAAAAATTATGAATATATGGCTTTATAATTATGAACATATAATTCAGTAATTATGAACATAGAGTTATGTAATTGTAGATATAGAGTTCAATAATTATGAATATGAAGTTCAAAAATTATGAATATATAGCTTTATAATTATGAACATATAGTTCAGTAATTATGAATATAAAACCATGTCCATCTTGCAAAGTGGAAACGATTCCACAGCATAACGATTGATGAGTTAAAATAATGTACATTATGAGTTAGAATAATATCTTTTGTGTTAAAATAATATACATTATGCTTTAAAATAATGTACATTATAAATTATAAAAATATATATTGCAGTGAGTTATGTGAAAGTAAAACGACCTAGTTATTGAACCATCGCCATACACGCAATGAATATTGTTATTATTGGTGTTCTCAATTGAGGTCAACTATGGCAACATTCGTAAATAAAAAAGTTATCATTTTCTCAATTAAAAAAATGGTGTATTATCTCGACAAAACGTGAGAAGCAGAATATGAGCTCCTCATCAATCGGGGTGGCCTTCCACCACTATCTTGTTGAAATTTAGCAACCAGAAACATCGGACATGCATGCATGAATGCAATTATGCAAAACGCCTTCCTTCCCCGCTTCCCTCCTCATATCTCCATTTCAAAAAAAAAAAAAAAAAAAACAGAACTAGAAATTACCTAATAAATTAAAGTATATCAAAATCCAATATAAATTCAATGCAATAGTGAATTTCAAGTTTCAATTAGGTGGAATAATGCATATTTCACCACAGAAGAAGATGTTTTGAAATGGAGAGGAGTAATTTACCGGGAAAAGCCATGAGCTTTAGCAACACTGCTTTCTATGGCGCCTCTGGCAGCCCAACAGCGCGTTTGTTCGTTACCCCCAGTATCAGGAAGAGCGATTTGGATAGGCCGCCGCGCATTGAGGATGATTCTTCCAATAATGCTACCGAAAATGCCGATCAAGTGTTTCAAGATGTTGATGAATTCTTAGGAGTCCTGTCCGCCGCCGGAGATGGCTCTACTCCGCCGGATGTTCCCGACGCCGTCGAGCTCCTTTGCAAGATTGTCGAGTCAAGGATCGCTAAGTATACTTCCGGGGAGAATCGGAATAAATTTGGTAGGATGAACGAAGAGGACGACTCATTGATAGACGCGGTCATGCGGTTATCGAGATTGAGTAATGCGTTACGACAGTTTCCGGCCGGGTCGACCGCCGCGTCGTCGAGCAACCGGATCGGGACGGTGTTGCAGCTGGCGATGGCGTTCATGGAAGAAGAATTGCCTAATTTACTGGATGATTCCAGAAATGGCGCCAATTCCAATGATTGCAAATTGTTTTTGTTCAATGCCAAGGATGAGAATGCCGGTTCCGGCAGGGAAGAGAAGTATCCGAGATTTTCGCCGGAGGTTGTGACGAAAATCGGTCGCATCGCCACCGTCATGATCTCCGCAGGGTATGAGAATGAGTTCTGTGAGGCGTATACGATTTCGCGGAGAAATGCGTTTTCTGAACAAATGAAGAAATTCGATTACGAGAGGATTAACGTGGAGGATGTGCAGAGAATGCATTGGGATACTCTGGAAGGGGAGATCACGAGATGGATCGGAGTGGTGAAATACTGCTCGGAAACCTTGTTTCCGGGAGAACGGAGACTCGCCGACTCCGTTTTCTCGGAACATCTGTCGTTCTCCCTCAGTGTTTTCAGCAATTTCGTTCGCGCGGCGGCGATTCAGTTCATCGACTTCGGGGAGGCGGTTTCGATGACGAAACGCTCCGCCGAGAAGCTCTTCAAATTCATGGACATATACGAGAGAATCCGCGATCTCATCTCGGCGATCAGCGAGTCATGCTCGGACGTCTGCCGGAACGAGATCAATCACGAGATCGCCGCCGTGAGAGACAGAATCGGAGAAGCAGTGGTGAGCGTATTCTCCGATCTCGAGAGCTCAATCCGTAACGACATCGCGAGAATCCCGGTCCCAGGCGGAGCAGTTCACCCGCTCACGCGCTACGTCATGAACTATCTAGAATACGCCTGCGAATACAAAGACACCTTGGAGCACATATTCGAGAAAATCTCCAAGCCGGAGCAACCATCGCCGCCGGGCACCGACACTCCATTTTCAACCCAGATCATCGCCGTGATGGACCTCCTGGACGCAAATCTGCAAACAAAGTCGATGCTGTACCGCGATCCCGCCCTGCGCGACATTTTCCTGATGAACAACGGCCGATACATTCTCCAGAAGGTGAAAGGCTGTCCGAAGATCCGCAAACTGATGGGCGACAACTGGTGCCGGAGAAGTTCGGGGATCGTGCGGCAATACCACAAGAACTATCAGCGGGAGACGTGGGTGAGGTTGTTGAGAATGTTGGGGCACGAGGGTTTACAGGTGAGCGGCAAAATCGCAAAGTCGGTGATGAAAGAGAGATTCAAAAGTTTTACCAGTGCGTTCGAAGAGATACACAAAACACAGAGCGCTTGGGTGGTCAGCGACGAGCAGCTCCGGTCGGAGCTTCGGGTTTCCGTATCGGCGGTGGTCATTCCGGCTTACCGCGCCTTCTTAGGGAGGTTTAGACAGTGCCTTGATAATTCAAAACAAGCTGAGAGATACATCAAGTATCAACCGGAGGATCTCGAGGCCATGATTGAAGGACTATTTGAGGGCAATAATAATAATGCACCAATAGCTAAAAAGAAGACATGATTTGATGTGCTATAACCTTATTATTGCCCACAACCTACCACTCGTCTCGCTAAACAATTAAATTAGTTATTTTTAACCTTTTGACTTTAGGGTTCGAGTCACTCATTCAACATCTTTACTTAATTATTCTCAATCATATGTTATATCATAGATAGATTATGATTGGTTCACTTTGTAAGATAAACTACTGACATAAAGTTCATTTCATTTTTCGTATATTAAATGTTTCTGTTGAGTTTTGATACATCGAATGTTCATTTTTAACATACTACTTAAAACTAAACTTTCAATGCATTATTAAAAATAAACTTTTAGTATACAAAAAATAAATATTTATTAATAATTTATAATATATAATTTGTCAAACTACTCGAGTCTCAAGATCATTATGTGCTTCTCTTTTGCACGATGCAACATGTAATTGCTTCATTACTCCATCAAATTTCAAACAAAATCATTAACTCTACATTTCCTCTTGTTTACTTCTAATTCGGATTTGCTCTGGTTTTGTGGGTGTATTATTTCTTTAGTTTCTGATACTATGACGTTAGTGTTTATATAATGCAAAAAACTATTTGAAATATTTTTTGAGAAGATGTCAAGTTTAGCTTTTGAACTTCAATATATTATTCTAAATTTTGAGTATCAAGTTAAAAAAAAAAAAAAAAAAAAAAAAAAAATCAATCTCTCTATGTTTCAAATTTTATGCTAATAATGTCAACTTTAATCATTTTAAATCTCAAAGTTTCCCCTTAATCCAACTAGAAGTGACAATTTGGGTAGTATAAATTTAACCTACTTAAATTGCTATTGGTTAGTCACGTTTATACCATGAATCAATTTTGGTGAATTAGATTTTAAATTGCTTAAGGTATTTAATTAGTAAGTCTGAAAACCAACACTCCAATAGCTTCAATTACTCATACCGTACCTACTACATCGTCTACGTATTCCCAAACCAATCAAAACACTACTACGGACTACGGTCCAAATTCGATTCACAGAAAACAACCCCCAGGGTTTAGCGTAAACCGGGAACAGTATCAATGCATTTCCCAAAACAAACCTGGGTTCGTGACAGCTTGGTTGTAACCGTTGGATTCAACACGCCAGCGGTTTGCAGAACTGGAAATACACAACTTAATCATTCTTCCAAAAGCCTGAATCCCAACTCTAAGGCCCCCCACACCCCGACCCGATAAAACATTTGAGATGATGTAAAAAATGGTAACTCAACTGAACATGAACCACAGAGGCTAGACCGTGTTCACTGCGTACAAGGGTACACAACTTAATCATGGAAGGATACGTTTTATGATTTGGAATTAAAGGAAAGTATCAATGCATTTCCCAACTACGTTCCTTTTTAATTTACGCGTGCAAATTTGTTAACACTTTTGGGCCATTCCATTATACCAGATCAATGATCCTCATAGGTTCTCAAGTTCACATGATAGGAGAAGTTTGCACCTGAATGCAAACCTATATATATTGAATTATATATATAAATATAGAATATAGATCAAATGCGAAAGATAGAGGCGTCCAGGTGAAACATGCGGGTGAATGATAGCAATTGATATTGTCAAAATCAAACGTCTAGATTGAACAGTGATTTTTTTAAAAATAATAATAATAATTTGCGGTGACATTTTGATAATTTTGCATATTTTTTAAATTTAATGTGCGTATTTTATGTGCTTAAGGTGCATCGTTTTAACACTTAAGGTGCGTCATTTTAACACTTACATGGCATTTGGTTGGAATGAATGAATTATGAGGAAAAGGAATTGTAATTTGGTGGAAATAAAGTAGGAATATATATATATATATATATATATATATATATATATATATATATATATATATATATTCAGGTTCAGGTGCATTTAAGTGTTTTCCGTGCGGTTGTGCGGGGTGATTAATGTGTGTGAGATTTGTGCTTAATGTGCGTAAGTTTTGTGCTTAATGTGCGTGAGTGTGTACTTAATGTGAGTTGTTGTTTGAACTTTAAAGTGCATGAGTTTTATGCTTAATGTGCGTGAGTTTTGTCCTTAATGTGCGTGAGTGGTGTGCTTAAGGTGTGTGAGTTTTGTACTTAAATGTGCGTGAGTGTGTACTTAATGTGAGTTGTTTTTAAAACTTAAGATGTGTGTGAGGCTTGTGCTTAACATGTGTGAGGCTTGTGCTTAACATGCGTGAGACTTGTACTTAACATGCGTGAGACTTGTGCTTAACATGCGTGAGACTTGTACTTAACATTCGTGAGACTTGTGCTTAACATGCGTGAGGTTGTATTCTGAAGGTGTTTTGTTTGTGTGCTTAATGTGCGTGTGTTGTGTACTTTAAGTGTATCAGATTAATGCTTAACGTGCGTTCACCCGCACAACCACACGGGAAGCCTCAAATGCACCTGATCCCTTTCCTATATATATATATATATATATATATATATATATATATATATATATATATATATATATATATATATATTTGTAATTAATTATTAATTATTTTGGTAAACGGATTAATCATTGATGTGACTGTTGCTTTGGGTAGATCTCAAGTACTACAAATTAAAACATTATATTAAAGTAGTTGAATCAGTCGTCTAAATGATTTAGATGACTTCAATTATTTTATAATTTTAATAAAATATGATTGCATTAATTAATTTTATATATATTTTTTTAAATAAATAAACGAGGAAGTATATTCGTCTCTATCTAACAAGTTTTGCCTACAAAAATTTTTCATTTCCATGGCCTTATAACCCCGGCTCAAGAAGATAGTGAAAGGGTAAATCACGGTAACTCATCGTCCATTTAGGTGGGTGGATCAATGTCTGATAGGTGTTTACAAAAGCACACTATATTAGGTGTAATCCTCACACTACAATTGCTTGTAAATTATATTATGGACCTTTTGTTCACATTGTAATGTGGACTATAGATATATGTTCATTTTTAATATACTGAAAATACATTATTTAAAAAATGAACATTTAGTGTATTAAAGTTATATCTTTAGTATATTAAAAATATATCTAATTATATCAGTAATTTACTTTATAAAAATAAATCATACTTCATAGTATAATAATAATTGACAATTACCTAGACCCAATCTTGTGTCACTACCCATAATCTATTTAATAAGCCTAACTACCAAATTAAATACACTACCAAGTTGTTTATCATTACCTACTCGTCACTCTACTAATATATACCAAGTTGTTTATTCCACTTTCACGTACTCCTTAACACGATGATTACATTGTGTGGTTGCTTGAAAATGAAAAACTAAATTATATATAACAAAAATAAATAAATAAATGATGACATGGAATTGAACCGTAGCACGGGGTGTTTTTGGTGTAATTTATTTTTTATGTGTAGTTTGTGGATTAATATACACGAACATAGTTTATCATTGTATACTTTTGTGTAATGATTACGAGTTTTTGATTATTGTCATAAAAAAAAAAACTAAAAAATAGTATAATTTTTATGTGAATATATTTTGACAAACAATAGAAACTATGACAGGATAATAAGCTCGATCAATTGTAACGAACAAAAGAATTATTTGCGACACATCACCACAAATTAATGTGATAGATTGTGGTCAAAGAGTATGGCAACATTAATATATATGGTGACGGAATAAGTATGGTCGCAGATATATAATAACCATTTGCAATAAATCATAATTAAGCACTTACAACTTAACGTGAATATCACATGTTTCTGCATGGTGGATTGCAATTGCCATTCCGCATCAAAATCATAACTTTTGTAATGAAATATGTTCATCACTATATATATATATATATATATATATATATATATATATATATATATATAGACTTTTTTAATAGTGAACAAAAAATGAAAAAAAAAAAAAAACAAACAAACAAACAAACAAAACTGGAGTAAACATAATCATCGTTTTTCTTTAAATTAAATAATTCAATATAATACATTGTAAGTTTGAGTTCCTAATTTCGTACGTAAGAAATTCATTGGGGTTGGCATTGGGAAGGGTGGTTGAATTATGGTTACCAGGCTGTTGCACATTGTGACGTATGACGTACAATTTGGTTCGTCCGAAATAAGTATTATTTTCATTCCAATATAGGCATTAAGTATACTCCGTATTTGGGATGAATGTCTGATTTAAATTTCACAAGCAAAATTTTATTGGTCTGGTTACTAACCGAAATTATTTTCTGTTTTTAAATTTTTCAATTTTCATTTTTTATTTTTTATTCAGAAAACTTGTTTACTAATATACACTCTTTTTTTTTTTCAAATTTATTTATTTAGATTAACGTTATAAAATTAACACAATTCAAATTTAATTTCTAATGATTTTTGGACTTTATACTTAAATATATGTAATTTAAATAGAATAAATATAATTTTTATTTGTGATACACGCATACAAGTGTCAATTTTCCCATCTTACCATTGCATTAAAATCCTATTCAGCAACGGCTTACTATTGATATCTTAAGGTGACATTGTCGGTAAAGGTTTTTATTTTTTTATCCAAAAAAAAAAAATCTATTTTTATATTTCTTGACTACCCACTAACTCCATAACTTTGAATAACAATTAAATTAAATATAAAAATTCCAATAGAAATATAGAACGGTGAAAAATTAAAGGGTAAATTAATTAAAGAAGAGGTGTAACAGAAGGCCACGGCAAGTGCCACTAAATCACCAACCCACCAATTCAAAATAAAATCAATAATCCAAATCATTTTGTCCCTGCGGGGCCCAAAAAAAAAAAAAGTAATTAAATTCAGTGAAACAGCCCTATTAACGTCATTGTTACAGAGTTGACAACCAAACTAATTTCATTAAATAATTTACACTTGCTAGCATCATAAGCATGCATTTATAGTATCTTTTGAGGTTCTCTGCAACCATTGACTTCCATTCCCTCCCTCATGAAATCATCATATCATATATTTCCATGAAGTTATTATCTCTCGCAAGTTGCAAACATGAGTAACGTAGCTATGCCGAGGATGAGAATCATGTTTCACTTGGCTTATGACAGAGGTTAGAATTGAATCTTTTAATTTCATCGTTTATTTGTTGTGTAAGAATCTCGTTTAGTCAGATAAGGTTTGGGTGTTTTGGTTAATTTCATCATGAAAACATGGAAAAAGTGTAAATCTTTGGGGTGGTTTGTCGGGAAAAGGAGGTCAAAGTTAGGGTGTGATGATGAAGATGGGAGGAAAAAGCTCCGGCGGGTGGCGCCGGAAGGGTGTTTGTCGGTGTACGTGGGGGAAGAGGGGCGGAGGTTCGTGATCAAGACGGAGTACGTGAACCACCCGCTGTTCAAGATGCTGCTTGAAGAAGCGGAATCGGAGTACGGTTACGACGCCGGAGGGCCGCTGAAGCTCCCCTGTGACGTTGACCTTTTCGTTAAGGTTTTGGTGGAGGTGGAGATGGATTCCGACGACGACGATATTTATGTTCGCCGTGGATGCGCCTTCGCTAGGTCCCCCGCCGCCGCCTACCACCACCTTTCTCCGTCGCCGTTTTAAGCTTTTAATTAATTTGTCTGGATTATATATTAAAACTGCGTTTACACTCTGTGTGTGTGTGTTTTTTTTTTTGTTTGTTTTGTAATTTGCAAAAGCTTTTGCTACATGTACAAATTTATATGTGCAGAGCCCGCAGAAAGTGTTTTATATTTTCATTCTTATTTTATTATATATTTACCTTTATGTAATATGTTTTAACAAATATTGGAAGAAGAGTTTCCTACTGTATAAGGAGAGAATAATAAGTATTCTGAAGTAATATTAAGCATGAAATATAACATCACAATCATTGTGTCATGTCTATAAATATTGAATCCAAAAAATGCTTGGATTTTTCGGAGACGTAATGTCAATCACCATATCCACTTTTTTTAGGTGCAATTTTTGCTGTCAAATTTGACTAGCTTTCGCACTACCATTACAACAAATAATTCAGAGCTTTATGATTCTTTATTGATTAGGATCACAAGATAGACTTCACTCAACACTTATAGATTATTATGTAAATCAATGTAACTCAGGGATGTTTGATAAATGGTTGTTAACTTATTGAGTTTGTAAGTTTAACTACTTGATATCATTAACTGATTGTAGAAAAACGTATGGTAAATACGGGCCGGCTCACGGGCTATGATTCATTCAACACTAATCCGCCCCTTGCGGGTTGGCGGGCCCCGTAGATTTTTTTTTCCCCGTTTTTTAAATTCAAAATTCAAAATTATAAGTAAAGATTATAAATACTAACATTGTGAATTTGCAATCCAACTTTAAAATCTAACAAAAATTAATATTAGAGTAAATTTCAATTTTGGTCATATGACTATATGGGTCCTGTTAATTGCAGTTCACGACTTCTAAAAGTGTTAATTTGCAGTTCACGACTTCTAAAAGTGTTAATTTAGTACTTTGATTATGTAATTTTTATCAATTTTGGTCACTCCAATCAAATTTCACGGAAAAATTTTAATAATTAAAATAATGTGAGTATTTTAGTCTTTTTTGCATCTCTTCTCTTTCCGTCTTTCTCCCCCATTCCTTTGCCGAATCTGCTGCAAATTCGCCTGAGAAGGCCGCCGGTAATGGTGAATTCAACAGAAAAAAACAGAGATGGCTTATTTAACATATCGCACTTTTTCTGCATTTCTAATGAAACTAACCGAAGGAAAATTACAAACCCAACTTTGCCAAACACCCATGCGCCCCTTTTACAAGTTTCCAGTAGATTTCAATATTGAAGCAAGCAAAAAGATAAAAACATGATAGCCTAATATATAATAAATGAAGTGAACTAAACAAACTTCACACGGTAGCACAATGAGCAAAGGAACGAGCTTGGGATACCTATTATCGCAAATTGAAGAGTGGTGGGGCAGAGAACAAAAGGTTTAGTGTAGGGCAGACACGGGAGACTGGAGAGTAGTTGAAGGTAGAAATGGCGTTCCGGCCGTCTGTGTCGAAGGGATGGCCGTGAAACCGTGAGTAGTTAAATGTGCATAAAATTGTTGAATCAATTTTCTGTTGAATTCACCATTACCGGCGACATTTTCCGGTGAACTTGAAGCAGATTTGGCAAAGGAATGGGAGAGAAGGAGAAGAGATGTAAAAAGACTAAAATACCCCTATTGTTTTAACAATTGAATTTTTGGTGTAATTTGACCGGAGGGACCAAAATTGATAAAAATTGCATAGTCAAGGTACTAAATTAACACTTTTGAAAGTCGTGGACTGCAATTAACAAGACCCTTATAGTCACAGGACCAAAATTGAAATTTACTCTAAATATTAATTCAAGTTCAAAAATAATAATAATAAAGTCTACAAATAATATATATATATATATATATATATATATATATATATATATATATATATATATATATATATATCGGGTTGCGGGTATTAATGGGCCAAGGCCCGCTATTTCGCGGGCCATTTTTTTTTTGGTTGCCCTAATTCGCCCACCGGGAAGAGTGCGGGTCAGCCTGGGGGCTTCGACCCATTTTGACAGCCCTAAGCTATAGTTTTTTTTTATAGAAAGAGCTTCATCAAGATGTGGCTCCTTCACAAGTTGAAGTGGTCCGTAAATAGCAGCAAGCTAGGAAACCACTCGTGTGAGAGGCAATCACCACTCCAACTGTAATTGAATTGGCTAAGATTGAAGCATCAACATTCCAGATAACCCATCTAGGATTAATCTAGAATAACTCATGAATTGTCTAATTTGCTATTAGTAGATTACTTATCTTCTGAAGATAAGTCCAATACTATCATTCATTGGTTTAATTTAAACTCTCGAAATCGTTATGACTCTGTTCATATACCAAATTTTATAATTTCTCCCTTTTCAAATGGCCCATAACAATGCCACGATACTCCTTAAATAACAAATGTTATTGAACTTTATATTTTTAAATTTAGGTTGAACGAGGCATTGGGGAATATGTTCCCTACTTTAATGTTTGTGACAAATTTGTCTTATGTTGTTTGGTTGAGCCTTAGAAGGGTACTGCACCAACCATGCAAGTAACGTGAAGATCAAAAGCCATTACACATTTACGCATATATAATATATAATATATAATATAAACAAAAACACAATAAGCGTGAATGAACATTATATTCTTTATTTATGTTTGTTTTTTTGATATGTTTATACCCCTGATTTATGTCCGTTTTTTCCGTTAAGTTTTTTTGTATATTATGCTATAAAGGTTGTACATTAAAATATTTTGGACAAACATACCCTTACCGTTATAACTTTCGTTATCTTTTCAACTATTGTTACCATGCATATACATCCACCATATATTTTCTTATCTTCTTCATTAATAATAATATATACACATTAAATATTTGAGTTATATGTTAATCTATACTTATATATAAAAACAAAATCCTGAAATTTTAACTTCCCGCTCAATTCCTAAAAAATCTCTCTTTCCAATAAAATATATTGATTGATTTCTACTTTCCCATTCGTACAATAATTATGGGTAAAAATTCTATTCTAAAATTTTAAAATAGTGTAATACAATTCCCTGTGTACATCTATCTATACTATATATAATAACAAAATCCTGGAATTTTTACTTCCCGCCCAATTCCTAACAAATCTCTCTTTCCAATAAAATATATTGATTGATTTCTACTTTCCCATTCGTACAATAATTCTGGTTAAAAATTCTATTCTAAAATTTTTAAATAGTGTAATACAATTCCCTTTGTACATCTATACTATATATAAAAACAAAATCCTGGAATTTTAACTTTCCGCCCAATTCCTAAAAAATCTCTTTCCAATAAAATATATTGATTGATTTCTACTTTCCTATTCGTACAATAATTCTGGGTAAAAATTCTATTCTAAAATTTTAAAATAGTGTAATACAATTCCCTTTGTACATCTATACTATATATAATAACAAAATCCTGGAATTTTAACTTCCCTCCCAATTCCTAAAAAATCTCTCTTTCTAATAAAATATATTGATTGATTTCTACTTTCTCATTTGTACAATAATTCTGGGTAAAAATTCTATTCTAAAATTTTAAAATAGTGTAATACAATTCCCTTTGTACATCTATACTATATATAAAAACAAAATCCTGGAATTTTAACTTTCCGTCCAATTCCTAAAAAATTTCTCTTTCCAATAAAATATATTGATTGATTTCTACTTTCCCATTCGTACAATAATTCTGGGTAAAAATTCTATTCTAAAATTTTTAAATAGTGTAATACAATTCCCTTTTGTACATCTATACTCTATACTATATATAAAAACAAAATCATGAAATTTTAACTTCCCTCCCAATTCCTAAAAAATCTCTCTTTCTAATAAAATATATTGATTGATTTCTACTTTCCCATTCGTACAATAATTCTGGGTAAAAATTCTATTCTAAAATTTTAAAATAGTGTAATACAATTCTCTTTGTACATCTATCTATACTATATATATTAACAAAATCCTGGAATTTTAACTTCCCTCCCAATTCCTAAAAAATCTCTCTTTCCAATAAAATATATTGATTTCTACTTTCCCATTCGTATAATAATTACGGGTTAAAGTTGTGATGTGTCAAAAGTTCGGCAAGGCATAACTTTTGACTCAGTTGTCCGTTTTAGACAAATATTTTTTTGAAATCGCGTATTTTTTCGAGATCTATCCACCGCAAACTGCCGTAGGCGGTTTGGCCCACCAATTTCTAAAAAAAATGCTTTATTAAATAGTTTCTAAGAAAAAAGTATGAGAACCTTATGTTTTATTAATGAATTTTAAAATTTTTTAATTAAAAAATTGTCCCATGCATTATTTGATAATCTCTCTTTATAATTGGTCAAATTATTTAATTATGGTAAATTAGGGAATAATTAATGATGGTAATAGAAATCCTAGAAGAATATTTAATTATTGTTATATTATTATTGTGACTCACGGAATACAATACAAGAATATTTAATTATGGTTATATTATTATTGTGTGCCTCACGGCCATTATATACTAACAAAATTTGAAAAAAAAACTAATAATAATAATAATAATATAATAATAATAATAATAATAATAATAATATAAGTGGTAAAAATAATATTTAAAAGTAATCCTTTATATAATAAAGCTATATGGTTTGGGAAATAATTAATTTTACAATTAATGCCACAACATCTTTTATTATAAAAAGAAATACATTAAATAACTATATATTATATAATCATATAAAAAATATACTTTTGAAAAATAAAATAGCTATATATTATATAATCATATAAAAAATATACTTTTGAAAAATAAAATAGCTATATATTATATAATCATATAAAAAATGTGTTCAATTAGAGTTTAAATTTACACATACAAAATTTGAAATTTGCTTTCCAAATGTAATTATCTTTTTTTTTTTTTTTGGTTTAACCAAATGTAATTATCTTAGTTATTATTCGTATTGTGAAAATTATAATATAGATGAAATATAATTAATAATAAATCAATGTAATTATGTAAATTCTCTCTATAAGTTTATTTGAATATGCACATAATTAGAGATTATATTAATCATACAAAATTTTAATTTTAATTTTAATTGTAATTTTGTATTCTATAAAAATAATAAATACTTGACCAATGAAAGCTCAAAAATATTATTATATTAAATAATTTAAAATA